CAGGGCACTCAACGGCCACCCCTTCTTCCTATTCTTCATCTTCTTATCTCCACCATCACCCACCCCCACTTCGTTTTTTTTTTTAATTTTTAATTCGGAAATTCGCAGGGCACTGAACAGCCACCCCTTCTTCTTCTTCTTCTTCTTCTTCTTCTTTTTCTTACCACCATTACCCACCCCTTCTTCTTCCACCATCTTTTTTGACGACCATGGCGGTTAATCGGGGACCATTCGTGCCCGATACTGGTGAAGCTAGAGAGGAACTGCTGAAGAAGTCTGATGTTTGGAAATGGGTGGACCAAGGGCATAAGTTGTTGGCCGGTACGTTACGTGGCAACTGGAGATTGCGGTGCAGATTGTGCCACAAGGAGTTCGCCGGAACAGTATCGAGACCGGGGAAGCACTTTGTGCAGTCGTCAGAACTTGCTCGCTGCAAGCACAACACCGGGGAGATTGCTGCTGCGGTCCGCAAGTTCCACCCGTCACAAGCAATCTGCCCATTGATGATGAAGAAATTGAATGAGTAGTACAGGACGCAGGGCTGTCCGCCGGTCGCGGAGGATCCCGTGGATTTGGAGCCGGATCAACACACAGAGGGGGAGGGTGGTCATGACACACCTTCGTCGCGGGCAGATTACAGGGCAGGTCCGGCGCCGGAGGAAGGGAGCGGCATTGGTTTGGGATCAACCTCCATCAGGAACATAGCAGCCCGCACTTGCATGGATGATGAGATGCCATCAGAGATTGCCGAGCACTTGCAGGGTCCCGTCTTGGCTTCCGCTCGCCCACCACGACCTCCCTCGGCCGGTGCGGGGCGGCAACAGACATCCATGGCCACTTTCATCGTTGATGAGCTCCAGAAAGAGTTTGACCAGGCGATAACCTCATTCTTCTTCGAGAACGCTATTGCATTCAACGCTGCAAGATCAAACTCCTATAAGAACATGGAGAGGATCATGAACGAGGCGGCCAGGTCGCGAAAGATGTTGAAACAGCCAGGGTACAACTTCTTGAGGACGAAGGCACTCCCCGCGGAGTACAAAACTATGGATACTGATTTGGACAAGATCCGTGAGCCATGGGATGTCACAGGCCTCACTTTGATGACGGACGGTACGACAACGACCAGCAACAGGCCGGTCATAAACTTCATTGCAATCGGGGATTCGGGGGCTGTCATGGTGAAGAGTGTTGATATGAAGGGGAAGGACAAGTAGGCTCCAGCTTTGGCGAGGATGTGGGAGGAGGTCAGCAGGGAGTTGGGGGTGCGCATACGGTCAATGCCATATGCACCGACTCGGCACAGGTGAACATATCCGCAAGGAAAATGCTAGCTGACCACGACGACCCGGCGATCAGGAGCATTCCTTGGGTGCCATGTGCATGCCATGTGTGCAACCTGCTCATGTGCGACATTGCTTCAGTGCCATGGATTGGAGAGGTGATTCTGCAGGGCAGGGAGATCACCTCGTTCATCAAGAGACATCAGAGAGCATTGGCGATGTTCAGGAGGGCCGGGAGGGAGTATAAGACACAACTAGGCATCAAAGATGGTAGGCCGTTGGAATTGATCCAACCAGGGGAAACTAGATTTGGCGCAAACTTCGTCATGTTGCAGAGACTACGAGAGGTGGAGGCAGTGTTGTTGGCGACAGTGTCCCATGCGCGCTGGGATGATTCCCCATGGGACCGGACCGCAGCATCAAGGGCGCGAGCATGCAAGGATCTCATACGAGACTTGGCTTGGTGGTTGGCCGTCGAGCGGGCATGCACTTTGCTTCAGCCAGTTTATTCGTTGATGAGGGACATGGATAGAGACGGGAGGATGGGGATGCAAGTGTGGTCTTTGGGGATTACGTTGCAGAAGAGGATGGCTGTTTTGCCCATGGATTGTGAGACAAGGGCGATTGTGATGAAGAAGGTGAAGGATCGTGTGCAGATGATGGCTCTCCCTATGCGCGCAGCAGCATGGATGTTGTACCCACTCCACAGGTTGCCTAGATTATTCGACGACTTGGAGTCTGTGGAGATCATGAACACTCTGGCACACTTTGCTGCGGTTTACACCAAAAATTCGAAGGATTACAAAGAGTGTTGGAGGTCCTTGGAAAGTTTCCATCACAAAACTCCGGAGTGGGTTCGACCGAACCCAGAGGAGGCTTTGGCATGCACTCACGTTTCACCGGCGCAATGGTGGTTGACATATGGGAAGAATCACAAGTCGTTGTAGAAGATTGCAGTCGCAGTGCTCAGCATGTGGACAACCGCCTCTCCATGCGAGAGGAACTGGTCCACCTTCGACCTCATTCACACAAAGAGGAGAAATCTATTGAGCCCGGAGAATTTTCAAATGCTTGTCTTCATCCATTGGAACAAGAAGTTGCTGAGGATGTCGAAGATGAAGATCGGGTTTGTTAACACCGAGCTACTGGAGTGGGAGACACAGGAGGACTTGGCTCCCTATGATGGCTTCATGCAAGACGGGGAGTACGACCCAAAGGAAGTGAAGAGGAGGGCAGCGAACTGGTCCAAATCTCGTGGACGTAGATCGAAGTCGACCAAATTCGACATTCGGGAGCTTGAGGAGGAGAGGGTGGACGACGGGGCATGGCTCCTTGATCTTTCTTACCGCCCTCGTTGTCTTGCGGATCATGACCGTGGGAAGACCGTTGTTGATGTTGACGACGAACAGCCTAGCCATGACAGCGAGGATGATGACGAGTTGGTTCGAGTGGAACTCGTTGACAGGCGGTCGACTATGAGGTCGGGAGGCGGTTCATCTTCTTCGTCCCCGCGTGACCACATCACGATGCCAGAGGAGGGTATTCGTTCACGACGTCGGACTTCCATATTAGGCGGTGCAGCTTCGGTGCAGGGGACCGCCTCACTCTCGGGGGCACAGCTCACCCGTCATTGGTGACCAACGCTCGAGGAGGCAGGCACCGCTCGTGGGACCACACCCGGTGGGTCGGCGCACGTCCCCCATGACAGTGATGCGGTGGAGGCAGATGCGTCTGTTGGTGCAGACATGGACGACCCCATTGCTGTTGCTCCGGCTGAGGCTGATGCGGTAATTGATGTGCGTGGGGATGATCCGGTTGATGAGCATGGGGATGATCCGGCTGGTGCCACTGTTACGGATGGTGTTGTCGGTGCAGTTGACGATGGTGCTGTTGGTGCGGACACGGGGACCGACGATGGTCCCATTGCGAGCGGCAATGGGTTCTCCACTCCGGATCCGGGGTTGCGATTGGGGGAGAGATTCGCCTCTCTGTTGTCGCACGTGGCCCCTATTGCCCCGTGTGGCTCTGCACAAGACTTTTGTAAGCACCTGGCTTCGATGTCCCCAATGCGGACTGATGACGAGTCTAACACCCCTGATTGGGCCAGATTCAGCGGACCAACCCCGCCCACTCTTTGGTTGAACGAGGACATTCCGCTGGTCGCTAGGGAGGGCACACATGCCCAAGTTTACAGGCGGAGGCCCACGCCAGTCCAGGAAGGTGGAACGACCCCACCACATGACATGGATGCACGGCAACCCAAACACCCTGCCTCCTAACACCACTGCAAAACGCAGAAAAATGCTGCAAAATGGTCCATACCAGCAAGCCCCTCAGAACCCTCAAACAGCCCCTCAGGCAACCCACCCCACGGGGCCAACACACCCTTAGCAGACCCCCGACCACCCCCTACTTGGTCCCCCCCCCCAAAAAAAAAACCACCCCGAACAAAAATCGTTGACAACCCAGATAACAATTTTCAATTGGGCTGTACTCAGCAAGCGCATGTTTAAGCTTTGAACAGATTAAAAAAAAAAATCAGTGGAAGGCTGTTTTCTGAGTGGTCGGCGGACCGCCGACCGGTCGGCTGCAATACGGTCGGCGGTCGGGGTCGGCGGTCGGCGGGGATGCAACCCTGTGAAGACCTTTTCATTTGTTTTTTTTTTGGTCGTCATCTGTGTGTGTGTGTGTGTGTGTGTGTGTGTGTGTGTGTGTGTGTGTGTGCGCGCGCGCGCGCGCATGTGTGTTGTAGATTTTCACCATAGCAGCCCCTGCTCCACCCAGATGAGTAGATCCAAAATCGAGGCTGCTTTATCTCTATTGCAGACAATGAAACACACTTGAGATGAACCAGTTTAACAATGAAACAGTTTTACCTCTATTGCAAGCACCATGAAGCACAATAGATCCGTTATATCTCTTTCTTGACTATCGTTACTTTGGCTTTCTTTGGGGGATCCCTTTTATTTGTTCTTGAAGGTGTGTGTGTGTATTGACATGTTCGCTATAAACAACTCCACGAATGCAGCATGACTGTGCCAGACTGTTTTGTCCACTTTACTGACTCATCAGGAGGTTGGACCGCGACAGTCTGCCCAGCATGCATTTGACTGATGGATAAGGACTTGACACGTCACCCAGAGTTAGCAATACCCTAGAGACAGAGAAATGTGGTCGACTTTACACACACCAATTCTGCAATCCTAGCAGACTGTTTGTCCAAACCTCTGACAAGAATGGCATTAAGTCTGAGAGCTAGTCCCTCACAGCCGTAAAACTCACTCTACACAATCACTCAGCCAGGGCATGCTGAGGCCTGTACACGGTCCTTTTTTCTTAGGGCCCACCGGTTGTTAGGGGTCCCCAGTCCACACACCATTTTTGATGCTGTGCAACCTGGAGGTCTATGGCCATTTCCAGGCCAGGCATGTTTGTCTGTCCCATGCGTGTTCTTTTTTTTGATTCAGCATTTTTTTATTCCCTTATTTATCTTTTTGCTGAGTCTTGCTGTGTTTTTCTGATGCAGCATTTATTTATTTCTTTATTTGCTGAGTCTTGCTGTCTGGTCCATTTTTGTCGGTTCCAGGTGTGTCACCTCGGACTTTCCCCTAATAGGTAGGACCTGCTGTAGCAGCAGGGTACCACCAGGAGGAGGATTTGGGCCTGCATTCAGGGGCTTCGATCGGATCTTAGATCCGACGCTCCTGGATGCAGACCTCAGGCTGTCCAGCCAGGCCAAACACTATACCTAGTGGAGGGCAGTCCAGTTCGACATATTTTCATTTGGGCAACATTGTGAGCACCACACTGTTGGAGCAGGGTTCGACTCTGGAGTGCAGCGCTAGAGGTAGAGGTAGTGGAGTAGGAGGTAGTGGGAGAGTGGAGGCTGAAGAGCCATAGCCGCTGGTTGGAGGACGACTTACCTGGGCGCCATAACTTGGACTGCACTCCAGCGACCTGCATCAGAGAGCGCCATTCCGCCAGTCGGTGTCGGCAGGACTTCAGCAGCAGCAGGTGAGGGAGAGACAGAGGAGACTTCTCTTCTTCTTCTTCTCCTTCTTCCTACCTTCAACCTCCATAGTCACTGTTCTTCTTCTTCTTCTTCGTCTTCTCCTTTTTGTCTCAGAGAGAGAGAGAGAGTGTGGTTGGAGGCAGAGGTTATGTCGGGCTATGGGGCCCAGGAGCTGATTGGACATCACAGGGGCAGACATTGAATGGACATTCGACAGGGCGACTATGTTTGGACTGTGCTATCACAACTTTGGTCTTCTCCCTCATCTCCATCTTCGTCTTGCCCTTCCTCCATCCCCTCATCCGTGGTTTCTCCCCATGTGCGTGCTTAAGGAGGGACCTTTCTTCTGTGTACGTGGTCCCTCCCTTCTCTCTCATGTGTGGTGTCTGATGGGTCGGGTCCAGTCAGTGTCCGACTGGTCAGGTCATATTTTCGAGTCTTCCACTGCGCTACATTGTGCCATTTCTGTATGTATATGTATGTACCTTGTGTGTTGACGCTTTGCTGATGCTGCATTGTCCATTTGAGTCCTTACCATCACTTTGCTGATCATTTGGCTCCATTGCATCACTCGGATTATTTCGAGTATGCATCAGTGTGTGTGCGCGCGTGTGTGTGTGTGTGCGCGCGCGCGTGTGTTTGGAGATAGATGCTCACTTTTGGTTGGCGGGTGTTTCAATTCAATTTTTGCAGACGTTTCAAATTTATGAAAATCCCATGGTGTCCACGTCTGTGCGAAATACTTCATGTCTACTTCCTTACATGTATGTGTGCGCATGTGTGTGTGTGTGTGTGTGTGTGTGTGTGTGTGTGTGTGTGTGTGTGTGTGTGTGTGTGTGTGCGCACGCGCACGTGTGTGTTTGGAGATAGATGCTCACTTTTGGTCGGCGGGTGTTTCAATTCAATTTTTGCAGACGTTTCAAATTTATGAAAATCCCATGGTGTCTACGTCTGTGCGAAATACATCACCTCTACTTCCTTACATGTATGTGTGCCCAAGCTCCCGCCATTATACTTTTTCGCCGGTAGTTGCAGGGTGTGGTGAAGATGTGCTGCGCAACCTGGAGCCCATCTCCATATCGGATCGACATCCATTCTTAACAAGTGGGACTTGCATGAATCAAAGTAAAGTCGTGCTTGCTGCTGAAAATTCCTCGTTTGTAACAGACGGCAACTGTTCTGTCGGAATAGCTTCCATTAAGGTAAGGGATCTCCAACCATGATGACCTCTACCATTGCTCAGCAACACTCTTAATAAACGTGCTCTCTGCTTAATGGCATTCATTCAATCTATCGAAGGTGTATACAATGAAGGGGG